CCCCAAAACCCCAAAACCCCAAAACCCCAAAACCCCAAAACCCCTTTTATTTTATTGTTGGTGGGACTAAACTTTGAGAGTATTAGTCACATCGTAGGTTTTCGTTAGAGGCTTTTGGTTGGCTTTTTGCCATCCTCTAACTGTTTATTCCAAGTTAAGGAAGTTAAACTCCTCAGCTCCTTGGAATAAGTTGAATGCTTCATACTCTCTAGCAGTATTTTCAAGAGCATTGTATGAGTGAGTTGGAAACTCTTCAGGGCTTATATAAGGAAGATCGATCGGTTTTGGTGCCTTCTTGTATGCAGCTGTTCAGTAATAGTCAACTGATAGCATTTTTCCTATTAAAAATATGGGTGAATCTGGATCGACACATAAATTTGGGTAAAGCTTCTAAAACCCAATAGATTTCTTTTAAACTTACTTTCAAATCTAGACGAGGCAGCTCTTCCACCAATCTTTTGGTTAGGAGGAAATAAAGTATGTGTTCCATTCTCGTTAAAATTCCTGGAATTCACCTTAAAGTTTTGATCGCTGGAGCTTTTCATTAGCTTAGAGAACTTCTTGTGCTTCTTATTCTTTGAGGATTTCAAGCCTTCAAGATCTCTACCAAAATTAATCACCTAAATTTACCTTTTTGGGGAAGGATTCAGTGAATGAACCTTTCCATTATGTCTGCTTGACCTTCCAGTGTGAGCTTCGAGATTCCTTTCTTTTGGATGCTTTAAGTTTCCATTATCCTTCATGTCAGGTTTGTCAGAGGTGTTCCTAGGGCCTTCTTGAGTGTTGGCTTCAGTGTAGCTCAATGAGTGGATACTCTTATTTTTGCTCTTTTTATTCTTCTGAGCTGAGCCCCTCGGATTCTGGGAAGGATTAATGAGACTTCCAGTTTTATAAGCCTGAATAAATTGCAAATAAACTTTTTGCAGGTTTGTATTTGACTTCAAATCAGTTTGGAATTTGTCATAGTCAAAACAGGGAGGTGCATTTTGCTGATTATTTGCTGCAAAATCGTTTAGAGCTGTTATTTGGTTGATCTTTCTAGCATCGATTGATTTTGGAATCTCCATCGAGTTGCTTTTCATCGGAGGAGCTTTAGATTTGATTCTAAATTCTTTTGCATCCTTTCTCATTCTAATATTCATAAATTCTAATCTTACTTAGTTTTCATACCTTTGCTGTTACTACTGTTTAGAGAGTCTTCTGGGATCTGCTTATGTGATTTCCTACAATAGTGTAATTATTATGCCAAACGAGTGTTGACTTACTTGTCAGTGCTGTCATCATTTCTTTCCTCTGGATCACATTTAGCGAGACCAGAGCTCTCACTCTCCATTTTTAATAAATATTACTTTCAGACAATAACTCTTACTAATATTGGGGTTTTGGGGTTTTGGGGTTTTGGGGTTTTGGGG